ATTAAAAAATAAAAATTAAAAAAATGTACAACATTGAGTGGACAATTTTAGGAGGTTTGTGGATCTTCTGTATCCACATTGGTAACCTCAAGTTAAAACTCTTGCCTTAGAGATTTTGGTTTGGGGTATGAGTAGCACTCATTTCTATATCAAAGTTCAGGTCTCTTAGGAAAGCAGAGTGAACAGGCATCCCCGCAGCCATGATATTGGCCAGTCCTGTTTCTCTTGCAAGACCCTCGAAGAGCGAGCCTAAGTACAGTCTGCCAGTACATGCCCCACAGCAAGAAGCCTGACATCCCTGCCACCAAGGACAGCAGAGGGACTGCAGAATTGGTAGGTCTCACCTGGGCTTCTCGGAGATCTTTCTCAGTGGCTGTCCTGTTCTCTCTTTCCTACTTGCTTTCACCAACGAGGCAAACTCTTTTATAGTGTGGGAATTAGGAAACGTAAGATGAGATGATGGGTTTCTAGATAATTCAGAATTCTGCCATCTGGTGGTGCCTTTCAGGGCTCGCCAAAGTAAATAATTGCCAAGCACTTGAGTAAGTGGGACAGTTAAGCTATTTGGTCAACAAGTTAAAAGAAAAACTTAAGATGGGGGTATTACTTAAGACTTTGTGGTTACATGAGTGGGGCTGAGGTTAGGAACTCCTGCTCTCAGTGGCTTGGAAGAGCATCTTTGAAACATTGGAAGAGGCAGCCAGTCGGAGCCCAAGAAGGGACCTCAGTCTCATCTCCTGGCTCCTTTCCTTTTCCTGGTCCAATTCTTTCCCTCTAATTGGAGAAGTCTTGCTCCCAAAGTATCAGAAGAGTCAAATTGAATCTTAATTCCCTACATCTAGGATGTCCCTCAGTTCCAGGGCAAGTATCTCCCATCTTTCTGAGCCCCCATTGCATGAGATTCACATGATTGGGCTCTATGTCCTCGTAAGAACCCTGGAAGGGATAGGCTACTGATCCTCCTTTACAGAGGATGAAACTAAGGCCAAGTGGGGACAAGTGCCCAAAGACACAGTGAGAATGTAACAGAGTTAGAACACAAGTCAGTGGGTACAATAACAAAGGAAACAATGTCAATGGCTGCCACAGCCCCTGCTGTGTGCCATGCCCGGCATTACTTTTCACATACAATACCACGTGAATCCTCTCAGCCCTATGTGAAGTGGGAATGGGTCCTATTTTACAAGGGTAACCGAGGCTCAGAGTGTGGGGTGACACATTCAGGGATGCCCTGTTGGCTTGGAGCAGGACATTTACACACGGGTCCTTTCCCTTAGTCCCTGAAGTAAGAGAGGAAGATGATGCCATCCCCATGCTCACTGGCCATTATATTTTCAGTTTTTGTGCTCCCCACTTTTATTATTTATTTATTTTGAGGCAGGGTCTCACTCTATTGCCCAGGCTAGAGTACAGTGGCATCTCCCAAGCTTACAGCAACCTCAAACTCCTGGGCTCAGTGATCCTCCTGCCTCAGCCTCCTGAGTAGCTGGGACCACAGGCACCCATCAAAACACTTGGTTAATATTTTTTTTTTTTTTTAGTAGACACAGGGTCTAGCTCTTGCTCAGGCTGGTCTCCAACTCCTGAGCTCAGGCCCCCACCTCAGCCTCCCAGAGTGCTAGGATTACAGGCGTGAGCCATCACACTTGGCCAGGTGCCCTCTGTTCTTGAAACCCACACACCTGCTTGGGGCTGCTATTGCCTCTTCTCCCATGCCCAGTTTTGTCTGGGGAGTGGCCAGTAGACACTATCGCAACCCAGCAGAACTCTGCTCTTTTCAATTTCTCTTAGACTCTCACACTCCACCAAACCAACATGGGGAATTTTCAAATCTTGGGAGCAGAAAGCCTCATTACATATGTGCTGTTCTCAAAGTCTCCTATTGCAAGTTTTGTTGTTGTTGTTGTTTTTGAGATGGAGTCTTACTCTGTCACCCTGGATAAAGTGCCATGGCATCATAGCTCACAGCAACCTCAAACTCCTGGGCTCAAGCAAATCCTCTTGCCTCAGCCTCCTAAGTAGCTGGGACTATAGGCATGTGCACCATGCCTGACCAGTTTTTCTATTTTTGGTGGAGACAGGGTCTTTCTCTTGATCAAGCTGCTCTTGAACTTCTGAGCTCAAGCAATCCATGTGCCTCAGCCTCTGAGAGTGTTAG